CCTACAAAGTTTTTATATGTGGTAAAAAATCTGTACTAGTAACTAGTGAACAATTAGGGTTGTCATTTTCTAATGTTAACACAAAAGGAGTGAAATATCTACTGCATTTGCAATAGCTCCTGTAAGCTAGTACAAGTGAGATTTGAACAGGTTTTGTGATCTCTGGTCAGATGTTATTTAACTTTTATACTCTTGTTGATCAGGTACTGACAGACTTCCCTCACACCACAGCTGAGTTAAGCATTGACTACTTGTTGGATCTTTTTCCTGAAATTCAGCCTCGTTCCTTTTCCATTGCCTCTTCTCTCTTGGTAAGTCAACAATAAAGTCAACAAAATTAACAATAAAAAACTTTTTAAAAGGTTAGTTCACCCCAAAATGAAAATTCTATCAGTGCTGCGTACTCTAACACATGCTGTGTAACACAAGAGAGTGAACCTCATTGGTTGTTGCTGAAGCTCAAACATGCAGCGTAACACAAGAGAGTGAACCTCATTGGTTGTTGCTGAAGCTCAAAGTGCTGCGTAACACAAGAGAATGAACCTCATTGGTGGTTGCTGAAGCTCAAACATGCTGCGTAACACAAGAGAGTGAACCTCATTGGTTGTTGCTGAAGCTCAAAGTGCTGCGTAACACAAGAGAATGAACCTCATTGGTGGTTGCTGAAGCTCAAACATGCTGCGTAACACAAGAGAGTGAACCTCATTGGTTGTTGCTGAAGCTCAAAGTGCTGCGTAACACAAGAGAATGAACCTCATTGGTGGTTGCTGAAGCCCAAACATGCAGCGTAACACAAGAGAGTGAAGCTCATTGGTGGTTGCTGAAGCCCAAACATGCAGCGTAACACAAGAGAGTGAAGCTCATTGGTTGTTGCTGAAGCTCAAACATGCAGCGTAACACAAGAGAGTGAAACTCATTGGTTGTTGCTGAAGCTCAAACATGCAGCGTAACACAAGAGAGTGAACCTCATTGGTGGTTGCTGAAGCCCAAACATGCAGCGTAACACAAGAGAGTGAAGCTCATTGGTTGTTGCTGAAGCTCAAACATGCAGCGTAACACAAGAGAGTGAAACTCATTGGTTGTTGCTGAAGCTTAAAGTGCAACACAAGAGAATGAACCTCATTGGTTGTTGCTGAAGCTCAAAGTGCAACACAAGAGAATGAACCTCATTGGTTGTTGCTGAAGCTCAAACATGCAGCGTAACACAAGAGAATGAACCTCATTGGTTGTTGCTGAAGCTCAAAGTGCTGCGTAACACAAGAGAATGAACCTCATTGGTTGTTGCTGAAGCTCAAAGTGCTGCGTAACATAAGAATGAACCTCATTGGTTGTTGCTGAAGCTCAAACATGCAGCGTAACACAAGAGAGTGAACCTCATTGGTTGTTGCTGAAGCTCAAAGTGCTGCGTAACACAAGAGAATGAACCTCATTGGTTGTTGCTGAAGCTCAAACATGCAGCGTAACACAAGAGAGTGAACCTCATTGGTTGTTGCTGAAGCTCAAAGTGCTGTCTATGGGGGACCGAAAGCTCCTAGATTTCATCAGAAAGATTTTTTTTTTTATTTGTGCTCCGAAGATGAATGAAAGTCTAAGGTTTGAAACGACATGAGGGCGAGTAATTACTGACAGAATTTTCATTTTTGGGTGAACTATCTCTATAATGTTACAAACGATTTCTTTTTCAAATAAATAGAAACAAAAACCTTTTTCTTCATCAAAGAATCCTCAAAAATGTATCATGGTTATATCATGGATAATACGACATGTTTCTTACCAAATCAGCATATTAGAATTAAAAATCTTACCGGTATTTGAAATGTATTGCAAATATAAATATTTGTTTCTGATTCCACAGCAACACCCTGACCGAATCCAGATCTTGCTTGCTGTGGTGAAATATAAAACCATGCTTTTGAAGCCACGCAAAGGCCTCTGCTCTTCCTGGCTGGCATCTCTGGAGCCCTCGAAAGGTTGGTCTGATCCATCTGAAAGAATTAACAAGTAAAGTCAAAAACTGCCCATAGTCAGACAAATAATTATGTGTACGAATAAATATTTTTATAAAATCGTGTTCAAAATACTGTTTAGAAGATGTTTATGTACCGCTGTGGGTGAAGAAGGGGAGTTTGAGATTCCCTCACGACCCAGACTCCCCTGTGATAATGGTGGGACCAGGGACTGGTGTGGCTCCCTTCAGATCTGCCATACAGGAGAGGGTTGCTCAAGGGAAGATGGGTGAGTTTGTCGGATTTGGTTGTTATTCGGAAGTGAAAAAGATGAAAAGTGATGGTCAAACATGTATTTTGCTAATAAAATTTGTTGTGAGGGACACTTCTTCCTGAATTGGGCTGACGGCAAGAAACAAGAAATGTGGTGCCTATTTTTTTTCTCATTATATCTTTATAAAATATGTACTTTATGGACTTGCACACTCATTTGATAAGTAGTGACCGAGTGTGTGCCATAATGCTGTTGATACGTTACAAGAGTGCTTAGTCATAATACATTCTAACTAAAGTCTCATCTTCTGTTTCAGCTAATGTGCTATTTTTTGGCTGTCGCTCTGAATCAAAAGACTTCTACTGTCGATCAGAATGGGAGGAGAAGGTGCAAATGGGCCACATGATCCTCTTCACAGCCTTCTCCAGAGATCAGGTCAGATGAGTATTATTTAGCTCTTACCATAAGAGTACTGCACAGGTGTGTCTAAATAAGAGAGGGGTGGACCCAGGAACACTTAAAAAATAAGGTGTGTTCGACTTCATGCGACGCTGCACAGACACGACGTCTGACTTGAAGCAGTAAATGCGGATTCACTGATAAAAATGGCGTGTTTTGTGTTTATTCTGACAACTTCAGTTCCGATAATGCTCACAAAGCCATGTTTTCATAACAATAAAATGGAACCATAATGTTATACTGTCATGTTTATCAAAATAACACTGATAAGAATATAGACCCACTTTGTTGGTATTTAAATAGTATAGGCTTATGTTGAACTTTATTCTTGTTTAAATGGCGTTATAGCCTGGAACTAGTCCACAACATTTTACAGTCTATGGTCTGGACTCGATCCATTGAGGAGTAATTATGATCGGTTCAGAATTAGTCGGGCCAATCAAAATGCCAGGGCGGGCTTTACCCGAATGGACACATGATCTGCAGTTACGTAATCATCACGTTATCAAAGAGCGCTTGGGTTGAACTGGTTTCCCTCGAAGTTGACTGCAGCTGGAGATTTGAGATTTATAGATTACGCTATCGCGTCTGTTGTAAAAGAAATCGACGGCGCATTCATTTTAAAAGACTGATGAGAACAGAGAACTGCAATCAAGGCATTTGTCGATCTGAAAGATTTGAAAGACATTTTCATTTCTGCCCCCAACTGCAAGTGAAAACTCTCACCGATTGGTCTGCACAGTGCTGCATGCAGTCGTACACACCTAATGCCTTTTGTCATACAGTCAGCAGGATAATGCAGGTTATGGTAATGTGAATGTGTTCCATACTGCATGTTTTTACTGTAAAAGAAGGCACATCAATCATTAATGTATTTATTTTGTAACTAATGACATTTATAATTGAAACATTATAATTACAGTATTCATTTGATTCTTTCTGCAATAATTGTTGCCTGGAAATATTTTCTTTCATAGGGTGTGGTATATAATTAGGTAAATTTGATTCATTCACAGGAGGATAAAATCTACGTTCAGCATCGCGTAAAGGAACAAAGCAAACTTTTATGGGATCTGATAGCAAAGAAGAATGCTTTCTTTTACATAGCAGGGTAAGTATTTTTTTTAACATCAAGTTAAGGGATTCAACAAAATAATTTTTATGGAATGTTAAATCTCATACTGTATGTACGGATGGTATAGAGCAATATTACAACACAGAAGGACAGAAGTTAACTACCCCTTTCTGTTTTCATCTAGAAATGCCAAGCAGATGCCCACAAGTGTATGTGACGCGCTGAAAGAAGTATTCCAGAAAGAGGGTGGGATTTCTGAAAGCCAAGCACACGAGATGCTGGATGCCATGGAGAAAACCGGACGCTTTCAAAGTGAAACCTGGTCCTGATCTCTCCATTAAATCCATAGCCTTAATAAACAAAAAATAGCATCAAGTGTGAAAAGTGAGTTGAACTGAGATTAAATGGTGTTATACAGTATAGTGCTTTGATTCCAAACCTTTCTTCACCAAACAAGTTCCCCACTGCCTTTGACAATGTAACTTATAAGCTTAACTTAAGTTACAAACAGCACACACTACCAGACCATGAATTTAAGTTGATGTTAACTGTAATCTAGGCTGGTGTTCCTGCTTTCATTTTTATTGTATGGATTTGACTTATTGAAGGACAAAGTAATAAAGACTTGGAAAATGTATTAACAGGTGGAAATACTTCTATTCTTTTAATTTCTTAAAGTAAATCATGACTGAAATATAATCTCCTAATTTTAAATTGAATCATCAAAACTATTTTTTTTTTTTCACATGAACACAGCTAGTGTGCACCAGTCAAAAAATTATATGGATGTGCTCATTTAGAAACAAAAAAAAAAAGATTAACAATGCAAAATCCAACTCACACTGGTATATATTCTACATTACTGATTCTCAACCAAGTGCCTCTGAAAACTTACAGGATGACTTAAAAGTATTTACATTTATAAATTATGATTAATAAAATAAATCTAATCCAATATAAACTATAAATTAAATGCTAAAAAAAAAAAAAAAAAATTAATGTGTTAATATTTTCCTGTGGCGTTTTAGTCCCTTTTGTAATTGCTGTTATTAAAGAACATAAATTCTGGAATCAAAAAATGAATTGTGGTTAATTCAATATATTAAATTTACCAACCACATTCATTAAATATATAAATAAAAATCAATAACATCAATAAAAATGTTTTAACTATTATAGCATATTTAGCAGCGATGGGGGAAGGTGATTATGTTATTTGAGTCAAAAAGGCTAAGACCACTGTAACTCACAATAACTACTTCAAAATATTACTTTATTCAACAGCTGTAAATTCACACACACTAAAATGGAACATTCAAATTCGCATAAGTTATTAAAAGGTGTTACATAATGTGTTCAGTGCCATAAAACTCTGATTAAATAGTCTTAAAGGGATAGTTCTCTCCATTCACACACCATCATTGGTTTCCAAACCTGTATGACTATAACACAACAACATTTTGACAACATTCCCAAAACTCTTTTGGGGACCACTCACCTCCATTGTATGACAACTTTTTTTCACATAAAATATACATTATGTTCATCAGAAGAATGTCAGTCATACAGGTGAGTAAATGATGACAATTTTTGTTTTGGTGTGAACTATTCCTTTAAGTATTTAGTACACCCACAGCTAAAAATGAAGCAGTTTGTGTGGTTTACATTTTTTCTTGATTGTTTCCATCTTCCACATAATTTTCCACTGTGATAAAACCGTTCTAAGTCAAAACGAAGATTAACTGGAGTGTGAAGCTGTTTGGATGACTGAAAAGCTACCATTCACCACATTTACATTCAGATTCATGACAGCTAGGAGTACTAGCTGTCATATTACAAGCTCTAGAAGTAAAATCCCAAGCTCCCAATTTCAAAAAACGGTGATCACACTGACAGTAACACGTAGCTTCTTGTGTAGCTAACATTGATCCTAATTTCCATTCACATCATTGGCTTCAGAACAAACACATAACAACATACTTGTGCGATGTTTGCAGCTATCTGAGTGCTAGAGTGTGGACCTGATAGATCTCCTCAGGGAAGTTCTGCTGTTGCTCCTCACAGATGATGCTGAGTCCAGCCTTGGCTACTAGGTGACGAAGGAGATTCAGGTTCCGACACACACTGCTGTCTACATCATCAGGTATTATACCCTCGAATGCAACATTATCCTTCACCACAATCAGGCCATTCGGACGCAGACCGTTCTGGCAACGCCTCAGGAATTCCACCAGGTGGTCGTCGGTTAAGTGACCTACAGATACACGAAGCGATTGGGCTTTATTGCGTTTGCAAAACACAATGGGAGATTTCATCTAGTTTATAGTAACGGTTTCCATTTTATAAAATTGTTCTTATGATAGATGGTGTAGCCAAATAAATCCATTTACCAATCACCCACTGAATCCATATGACATCATAACGTTCTGGCTGGGGCTGAAAATCTTGCAGGCCACAGCAGAAGTAGTTCTCCACCCGCTTGCCCTCCTCACCCAGGTATGTACGAGCTTTATCCAGGAACTCCTGCGTCACGTCCACTAGGTCCACTGTACGGAAGAGCGGCAGGAGCAGTCGCTTGGTGATACGGCCAATTCCAGCACCACAGTCCAGAGAACAGCCTGTCCCAGTCTTACCCTGGCCTTCCTTTGAGTAAACAAGGAAACCAGATGATAGGGTGTTTCTCGTGGACTTTCATTTAAGGTTTGCTTGAGCTTAGATTATTGTCTTGCTCCATTTCAAGATATTTGTTTCAAATAATCACTTAAGACCTAGCAGTGAACTAAAATTTGTAGTAGTAGAATGTCAACAATTTACGCTACCAACTTACACTACTATTTTCATGTTTTTGAAATAAGTCTTTTATGATAACCAAGGCTGCTTTTATTTTATCAAAATACAGTAAAAACAGTAATATTGTGAAATATTATTACAAATACATTTTCTAAAAGCTGAGTTTTCAGGTCATTACTCCATTCTTCAGAGTGTCAATGGTGTCTGGTTATACATCTTGTTTGAAGCAGGTCATAACAGCAAGGGGTTCAATTAAGTACTAAAGATGCGTCCCCTGAAGGGGTTGAATAATTTTGTGACTGCAGAAGTCATTAAAAGTGGCATTTTCAGAATTTGGGGAATTTTTGAATTTGGGGAAACCACATTTGTTGTGTTGAGCTATTTCAATTACTTTTGTTTGATTTGTCCATAGCCAAGCCGAAAGTCTGTACTTTTTGCCAATAAACCTGATTTGCAATGGGGGGGTTGAATAATTTGGATTACAACTGTGTGTGTGTGTATTTCTGAGTCTAAACTTCTGAACAGTAGTTTATTGAAATTACTCACCCCAAGGAACTTTTGAAGAAACTTTTTGGAGCCATTAATGTCAATGCTGGAAATACTGCCGTAGCCTCCCAGCATTCCATCCACAGTGGGCGGGACATCCTTCCAGTAATGTTCTGCCTTCGAGTAAAACGTAGTCTGGTCTTCTATCAAGCAATCCTCCATCTTTGAGCAACTCCTAACCACAGAGATCAAAAGAAAGTAGTTTTACCAGAGTCAGAGTTCTTCTTCAGCATTTTTCATCTTATGCATTTTTATAGATGTATTCAATTAGAAATATACAAGTACACAATTAAAAGTAGATTGAATTATTTCATGTTCCTATATTCATTTTTTCACATTTAAATAAATTTCATAGCAATTATAGTTTCTGTGTAAAATCATATGCTGCATGGAAATCAGTCTGTAAATGCATCTCACTGCTTCAGATGAAGCTTCTGTGCAGTGTAAAAATGCATTAGTATATAAATTAATTGGTTGCTAGCACCATTCTTACGAAACTGTTATACTCCATTGCTATTCGTCAAGTTTTTTGTGTAATGCTTTTCACAATACATATGGCATGGTACATTTTACAATAAATACACACAAATGTCAAATATTAATCATAACCTAGTCATGCACTCACGGTCAGTAAGACAATGTTTGAGTTAGTTTATGAAATTATTACAATTATAATTTCAATGCAATGATAAAGAGCCAATTCTTCAGTAGGGGTTCAATCTTCAACTGACTGGCAGGAGCTGCCACTGGACCCCCACTCCAATTATTTAGACTGTAAAGAGACCCAGGGGTGCTGCTAGCAACTTTGGGCCTATGAAGGAATATGAGGTAACGTGCTGAAGCTGTCAGATTTAGACACCGGAATCCAAAAGTGTCTCTGCTGTCTGAACTCAGCTGTCAGGAAGCATCACTTCAGCGTAGGTTAAACTGACAGACAAATGACTGGTCAAAGATATAATCTCTTAACAAAAATGGAAGCATGAATGAATAAATAAATACAGAGGACTAACATAACATACCAATTCCTACAAAATATTTTTGTCTAAAGACAAAAAAATGGCATATTTAACTTACGAAGTAATAAATGGTAATTGAAGAAAAGTAGTCTGTGTTACTGTTACAGTCTCATTACTGGGTTTACGTGGGACAAAAAAAAGGACACACATATGGCCCTGCTATCGTTAAACGTGTCTTTTCCTTTTGCTATAATTTAGGGGTGACAAAAAGATACACGTGTTGACACACGACCAGCTCTAAATCACAGGTAGCCTATGTACATTCATGCTTCCAACAGGTCTTTCTGATCTGTTTTTGACTAACGTTACACTAATTCAGACAGTAAACACTGCCGTAACGTTAACGTTACCTTTGCTTTCGTGCCCTCGCTGCCGCCGACAGTCGTTTCTTACAATCGGTCATGTCACTACTGAACAACTGTAGTATAACTGCCCCATGAAAGCTTTCCTAGCTCCCCAAAGCCGAAATGCTCAACACCGTACGTCATTTCCTTATTTGACCAACGTGTTTCCCCTCAGCGAATTGTTTTTGTCTCCATCTTGTGGCCGTATGTAAACTTGCGTACATGGCTAAGAACTGTCAAAAATGTAATGTTTTTACACAAAGTTAAGACTGCATAGAATAGTTCTCACCCTTGGTCGTTCCAAGATTTAAGTTTTGTCTTAGACACTAAAAGCACAATCTTTTATATATTTTAGGCATTTAGTAGGCATTTAGTAGTTTAGTAGCCTAGGTGTTTCATTTAGGGTTGTTCTTTAAGTAGGCATTTTATTTTAATTATTCATCACATTTTCATCTTAATATTGTCTATTTGGTTTAATGAACATCCTTTCACTTTCATTTCCCATGTCTTTCTAATAAATGTTTATCTGAACTGTAAGTTCATCCTAACAATCTTGTATTTATTTTGTATTCTGTCCAGCCTCTTGTTTTCCACTGTTGCCGTTTATTTCTTCTCATCCCGTCTCTCATTTTCACTCTCCTCATTACATGACAGGATGCTTTCTCTTGACTACTTATGCTCGTCTCTACTCCTCCTCCCCCACAAGCCCAACGTTTCACTGCTCTCCTCTCACTCCCCTGGGCAACTCCTCTCTTCCTCTTTCTCCCTCATGGCTCTGTCTGCTCATCCTTTTCTGTCTCTCGTTCTCAGCCGAGCTGGCAGGGTACATTTGATGACTCAGTACACTGCCTGTCTGCATCGGACAGCCTGAAGTCAGTCGATATTTAATCTGATCTGCTCTCTTTCACCCTATCTTCTTCTGTCTACTCCCTCTCTGGCTCCTGACACCTTTTACATTCTCATTAGAATTACAAAGAGGCTGGAGAAATGGAGCGGAAATCAACACTTTTGAAATGTCCTGAGTCAGCAGAGCTGGCCGGCTCTTCTCCTTACCTGTCTTCTCCGCCTATGGGTCTCTCTCTCTCTCTCTCTCTCTCTCTCTCTCTCTCTCTCTCTCTCTCTCTCTCTCTCTCTCTCTCTGTGTGTGCCCTCTTCTCATTTCTCCTTTTAGATTAACCTCTTTTCTACGGCAAAATATGTTTTGTAGTCAGTCACCTAGTTTTGACTCATTCTAGTCTTTTTTGAAGAGTTTAAATATTAATAATCAAATTTTGAAATAAACATTTTTAATATATCAGTGTTATTGTAGAAATATTTATTTATTTAATAATAATAATATATTTATTTTTGTATAGGCCTAGTGGCCTTCAAGAACCCAAGGTCTCTTCACAATATATATATATATATATATATATATATATATATATGAAGAGTTCAGATGCAAAAGCCTCTAAATGCCATTTGAAATTTTCTTCTAAAATGACCATTTTATCAAGCTTGTATATTTAAGTTCAGTAATTTCACTTAAATTACAATAATAAGTAATCTTCATTGCCATTTAAGTGAAATTACTGAACTTAAACATACAAGCTTGATAAAAATGATCATTTTAGAAGAAAATTTCAAATGGCATTTAGAGGCTTTTGCATCTGAACTCTTCATATATACACTCGCATAGACTCAGACACAAGGACACATGCTTTAATCAATAAATCTACTGTACTTACACAGAGCGAACACAGCCTCGTGCATTCAGGTGTTCAGCATTCATGCAAAAAAGGGAAAGATGGCATCCCTGGAAAAAAAGAAATGGACAGTATAAGGGGGGGACGTATGAACATGTGTGCACATACACTGCAACCAAACACAGTATGTAAAAAAACTTCAGTCATGTAATGAAGTGAATGTTAAACTCACTACTGTCTGAACATTGTTACATGTATAGGCCTAAGCTACCAAAAAATTGCATGATGCATCTTATGCTACTTGTTAAGCAGATGAACCAAACAACATCTCCTACAGAAGATTCCTTGAAGGTAGAGTAGGCAATGTTGGAGTGGCTAGCAATAGCAAGTTAGCTCCCTTTAATGAATGTAAACAACTGCTGCAGATTGATTTCGGCGTTGATAGTGTTGCCAGAGAAACGCATGAAACATGAACAGTTCTAGGAGGAATGTCACAGTTGCTGTCTCTAAATTATGGTTACGCCATGGCATGAACGCAGCGTAAGCTTGTTGTTTTGGTTCAGGAGGAACCGTAAAAGGCTGCTGCTGTTTGTTTGCGGTGCTCAGTGAGTGTCCGTCTACAACTCTGCATATCTTTATGGAACGTGCTGATAACGTGTGTGATGTCTGCGTGAGCAGGTGCGCAGTGCTATGGAAATACACATACATTGACAGGAAGGGAGGTACGACACTGTATATAATTGCATATATTTGGACCACTTCTATTATTGATTACTATTAGGATGTGAAGAGAGTTTCACCAGAATAACAAAAAAAGTGTTTATTATACAAAAATTGCCTGCCCTACCTTTATAGTCTGCTATAGGTCATTTGTAGGACAATCTTAGTTTGTGTCATATTATTGTGATTACAATTCATATGAATACAAAAATTACACAATAATGAAATATTCTTAAGGTATTATTACAATAATAAGTATTTGAATGTACAAATGTGAAGGGTAACTGTAATATAAACATTCCCATGAATACAGTAAGTGTTCAAAACACTTGTGCATTAATTCCAGTAGCCACGTGATGGCACTGTTGTACTGTTTGCAAGCTCAGTGGGACATTCTCTCATTCACTCAGACGGTCACCAGAGAATCTGTAGTTCTCTCAAGCAATATAACACGATGCCCCATAGTGGTCAGAGCTCAGATCACAGAGGGTGACAACAGCTAACAGTGGAATTTCAGATATGTGTTGCCCTATATCCCCTACTACCCTGATGTAAATGTTTTATTGAAGACAATACCATCATTAAAATTGAGGCAATTGTTAAAATGTTTACTTTTCATTTAAATAGACGGTACCCTTGGAAATTGTGCTCAAAACATTGGAATTATGATTGAGTGAGAATGCTATCCACTTTTTCCACTGTTCTTATAGATAAGACTCGTCCTAAACCTGACAGTTAAAATATATAACTTTAATACAAAATAAAATAACATACTTATGTTATTTTATTTTGATTATTTTATTTTATTATGTTATTTTATTTTATTACAACAAATAAATGTATTTATTTATACATTTATTTATGTATAAATAAATGTGTATTTATTAGGGCTGTGCAAAAGTTAATTACGATTAATCGCATCCAAAATAAAAGTCTCTGTTTACATAATATATTTGTGTGTGCTGTATGATTATTTTGTATATATAAATACATACACATGCATGTATATATTTAAGAAAATATGTTATTCATATATAAAATATTTATATTTATATAATATAGATTATGTATTTATAAATATATACAGAATTTAACCGCAAATAATTCTTAAATATATACATGCATGCATAGGTATTTATATATACAAAATAATTATATACAGCACACACAAATATATTATGTAAACACAGACTTTTATTTTGGATGCGATTAATCGCAATTAACTTTTGCACAGCCCTAGTATTTATACATAAAATAAATATATGTGTATTTATTTTATGTATAAATACACATAAAAAATATAATGTGTATTTATATATACACATAATGTGTATATATAAATATTGTTAACAATGCGTATGACAGCATTGTTCACATGATACAAGCTTGTGTGTCTGTTGAATTTGTCCGTTTATGTACTTAATTACAGATAAATCTGAGACAGACAGTTCAACCCGATCTCACGACCAAGTTGTACGAATTCAACGAATGATTAAAAAGTGGCTAATTCGTAACATTTCATACGACCTCATCGTAGGTCGTACGTAGGTCGTACTCATCGTAGGTTAGACACTTTTTAATCATTCGTCGAATTCGTACGAATTGGGCGTGAGATAGTGTTGGACAGTTGCAGTCCTGTCTGCCATTTGCTACACATTCATATGGTTGTGCTTGTGCATTTGTGTAAGCAAATGTTTGTGTTTCTACACAGAAGGGTCAGGAGGTTTCCAAGCGGAACCATATGGCCTGAATGTCTGGCAGAGCCAAAAGGCAAAGACAAACAACTAACTAACTAACTAACAAATGTTAAAAATCACTAACAGTGTTTCAAAACGAATGACATTTTACCTAAAAAATAAATCCAAAGCACATTTTAGCCAAACAAACATTGCATTGACTTTGAAGGGTGTGTGTATGTGACATGTGGTTCTTTGATGTTTGGGATTACAGTCGGATTACATCATGGTAGTTTGGATGGGAGCACCTGTATTATGACAGAAAAAAACAAGGCCAAATACACGGATGAAAAGAGGAGCTGGACTGAGGTTTCTCCTGAAAAAGAGGAAAACAAAAAGACATGAAGACCCCTGAGGAGTGTAAAGTTTATGTATAGGTGTGAATGTGTGTTTACCTTTAAATTAGTATGTACTGAATGTCCCTGTATGATTTCAGTATTATTATTATTATTATTTGTTTGGAAGTAACCATCAGTACGTAGCTATTGTATACACAGCTGTCTGGAATACTTAATTCTGATCATTCATGGCATATATTATATAAAATATTCCTGAATGACTTCATTCAAAACGTACGAATTCATATCTAATGTTCATATTATATTATAACTTAAAAACTAACTAACTAAAACAAAAATAAAATAAAGCTAACAGATCAAATTAACATAAAAATAAAATCTTAAATACTACAATAATATATCGTACTTAAATAAAACCTAATACATTGTAAATACATTTTATTTGAAAACATTATATTAATAATAATATAAAAATATAGTATACTAATAATATGGGTTTGATTCTGATTCTTCATGAACTAAACCTGATAGTTCACATTATATGATTAATGAAATAATGTTTGTAAATAAAATGTTTAAAATAAAATCAGTGTTATTTGACCATTATCTGTATACTGTTAGTATTTATCAATATTTGTGTAATTTTATATATAGGTGCATCATTATATTAAAATGCAGCAGTATGTCAGCAGCAAACTTC